CTTGTGTTTTCCAGTCTAGCCTGTTGGGGCACCATGCCCTGTCTCCAATGTCCACCCTCATCATTCCCTGGGGATCTTGCTACTGCCCCCCCCTGCTGTTCCGCTGCACGCCCCCCAGTGCCTTGCCTCAGCGTGGCGGGGTCAGATCAGGCGCAATTCCCACACTGTGTCACTGGTGGTGTCCCCCACAGGGTTTATGGCACATATCTTGAGGCAACATAATTCAATCTATAAGAGTCTCTAATAAAAAAACTGAACTACATGCAAAAACTTGGACAAGAGAAGTTGGCAACCACTGAGCCACGAGCTAGCTGGTTGCTGATTGGAATGGGAGGAGCAAGCAACTTCTTGCTTGCAGGTCAACTGACCAAATATCAGGCCATGGCAACAAACCCCTGAGCAGACAATGTACAACCCCCAAAGTAGCAGCCAATGATGCCTAGCTGAGGAGAACCCAAGGAATGAAATCAGATCAAGAGACCCAAGCAGATGCAGAGACTGGCCAGAGATTAATGTGCAGGAAAAGGACTAAAAGACTGGTGGGTTCTGATGCTCAATGAAGAGTGAATTCAGGGCAACATCTCCCCTTGTGTCTGGATTGGTTTGGGTTCGTTTCACACCGTGGTTGTATAACTTGTGGATAACATGCTCTTTGCCACATATGGTCTCATACTGTATTGATGTATCAGGTAGTAATTTTGTGTAAATAAATTATTTTTGGTTTTAAAAAAAACTTGGTAAAAAAGAAGAGTATAGGTGGGAAATGATAGTTGGGGAAAGGAAGGTAAACACTTCCTTTTCTGAGGTGGAAGTAGAGGTAGGCAAGGATTAATAAAGTTTTGAGATAAAGATGCATGCTGGAATGTACTCAATCTTCGTAATGTAGGAGGGTGGCAGGGGATTTATAGAGTCTTGAGTAGAAATGTTCTGAAAAAGTATTCTTTTTAAAAAGCATGCTACTTCTACTTTGAATAAAACGATGGCTGCAGTGTAAGGTCTGGACAACAGGAAAGACTAGCTGAGCTTAGAATTTGAATTTATGACGAGAGTAATAAGGCTCAGTTATCATTTTATTTCTAGAGGTTTCATTGAAATGTATGGGATCTTACAGGTGACCCATCACTGTGCCACAGTAACATTCTGGGATTTTACTGGGACTCTCAGTTCCCAGTTCACAAGGGAGTCACTTTCTTTCTTGGTAAGAAAATTGGATACCTTAGAATAAGGTCTTAACACTTCTATTTCATTCTGAAACCACAAAAATTCTTTGTTTTCAGGATGGAAACAAACTATTATGAGGCCACTTAAAAGGTTAGACAGGAACCTTAGGAGGCGGTGAGCTTATGTAAAAGCAGGAGGAATAGCTCAGAAAAGGAGGGGAGAATAGTTGCATAGCTCGAAGAACGTAATCAGTGTCACCAAAGTGTGCGCGTCGAAACCGATCACAAGGATCTAAATGTGACCTCCTCCCTCGGGGACGGACAACAGAAGAGTGGGTGAAGGGAGCTGTCGGACAGGGCAAGATGTGACAAAATAATAATTTATAAATTATCAAGGGCTCATGAGGGAGGGGGGAACGGGGAGGGAGGGGAAAAATGAGGAGCTGATGCCAGGGGCTTAGGTGGAGAGCAAATGTTTTGAGAATGATGAGGGCAATGAATGTACAAATGTGCTTTACACAATTGATGTATGTATGGATTGTGATAAGAGTTGTATGAGCTCCTAATAAAATGATAAAAAAAGAAACTGAATTGATGTACATTTTGCTGTGTATATTCCCAAAAAGAAAATTATTACAATTTAGGAAAAAATACAATGAGGCCAGAATTTTCTTCAGCGGCCTACAATTGTGAGACTAGCATTTTTCTTTTCACCAACATTATAAAATTAAGTCTTATGAATTAGTGATTCTTGAGGTACCATAGAGCAAACCATCCATTTTGCAAACATTTTTCAGGGAATTAAAATGGAAACACTTCTAAATGCACTTTTGGGCAGAATGAGTATAACGAGGGAGAGCTATCTTTCTCATCTCTAGGGTGGGGTCTTCATAAGACAGGATGAGGGGGTCTGGTCTCTGTTTTAATCTCCGTGGGCAGCTTGTCTTCTCCCCACATGAAAGGCTCAAAGAATCTGCAGACACCATCTGGTTCAGAGCTCCCACTACATAGACACTTAGCTCCCCGACTTCTCTTCCCTCTTTGTTACAAGAGAGTTTGTTTTCAGGCCAGTAGAGAATTCCTTGGTTAAGTAGGTGCAGTTTCCTGAGTGTGCTCAGTGGCAGTGTGGGCTGGTACGGCAGCGCTGCAAGTTCTTAACTACTGGGATGCATGGAGAGCCAGTGCTCCTACTCCCCTCGATCTGTTCCCTGGTAGGATTTGATGCCTTCTTCTTAGTCTCATGAGGTAAGAGGGGTGAAAAGAAAGATTCTACTTCAAGAGGAAGAAGGGAAAGGCAGCAAGGTTGTGGGGCGTTACCTTGGCCCTTTTCTTGCAGAGCAGCACAACGATACTCAGGCACCCAGCTGCTGCAGCATAACCCAGAGGAGTCAGGCCACTTTCTGAAGAAGCATCCACATTGGCCCCAAACTCCAACAGGAGGGCCACCATTTCTGTGTAACCAAGATGAGACTGGACACATAGAATTGGAGCATTATTTAAAACCTCTGTCCGGTAATTAATGTTGGCACCTCCTAAAATCAGCAATCGGCTGACCTAGAAATAAGAACAATTCAAGCATTAGTCATATTATTTTAGTCATTTTTTATTATATGAAATGAAATCCTACACACTAGTCCTTAGTAGCCTGGAGTAACTACTTTATTTTATAATCTTCAGCCCGCTTTCTCCCAAAAAACTTGCCTTGGAAAGGGATGTCAAATGACTCGTTTACGTAAACTGCTCAGTAACTGGAGCAAGTGGCACCTATTGTGTAGTCCTGGAATGTCTGTTGCTGTTAGGTGACATTGAGTGGATCCTAACTCACAGCTACTCTGTGTACAACAGACGAAAACAGTGCCTGGTCTTACAGCACCTTCACAATTGTTGTTATGTCTGAGTGTACGCTTGTAGCTACTGCATCAAGCCATGTCCTTGTGGTTCTTCCTCTTTGCTATACTCCGATGCGTTAGCAAGCACAATGTCGTTTTCCGGGGACCGGTATTTCTTGATAACATGTCCAAAGTACGTGAGATAAAATCTCGCCATCCTCAGTTTTAAGGAGCATTCTGGTTGTACTTCTTCCCCAAGGCAGATGTTTGTTCTTGTGGCCGTCCATGGCACTGTCAATATTCTCTGCCAACACCGTAATTCAAATGCAGCACTTCTTCTTTCTTCATTCCATTTTCAAATGCAGATAAGATGATTAACAATATCACAGATTGGGTCATTTGTACCTTAGTCCTCAACATTTGCTCTGTTAATACTTTAAAGTGGTCTTGTACAGCAGATTTGCTCAGTGAAATATGTCCTCTGGTTTGACTGCTACTTCCTTGAGAATTGATTGTGGATCCAAGCAGTATGAAATCCTTAATAAATTCATTTTATCTCAGTTTATAATGATGCTGTTTACTAGTCCAGTTGTGAGGACTTTGATTTTCTTTACTGTGAGGTATAACCCATACTGAAGGATCCACATAATATGTAGTCTCTATAAAGCAAACTCTACCTGAGATCAATTTAATTCCTAGAGCTAGTAGGGTCTGACCCTGTAATCCAGAGGCAGTTTGTGGAAGGTAAAAGGATAATTGCTTTGACTCTCCACACCCCCTCTCACAATTAAAGGGGCTTATTTAGGGATTTAACAGGTTATCACAATCCATGTCAGAAAACATTAGAGTTATAGTTATTGGTCCAAATAACATCTCTCCTCAGCCAAGATTTTGGTCTTGAATTCACAGAATAAAAAGGTAATATTTTAAAATATATTAAACTATAATTAGTACAAGACAGTCTAAGGTCAGCAAAGATTAATCAAATAATCACTGAAATGCCCTTCAAATTTCATTTTATACAGTTAATATTTTAACTCACCTGGAATGTATTTACTTTTTATATTGAGAGTACATGCATTTACCTTTATATTGGGGGTATAGAGATTTCGTAAAGATGCCAACGCCATGGAAAGACCTTCTGTGCTGTAGGAGATCCAGAGACCTTGGAGGATGGAGGATGAAACACCAACCTTTTTACTTAAACCCTGCACAAGAAGTATAGAAAGAATGAATATCCTAGTCCAGTTAAAATGTACTACCAGTTGCTAAGTTGGTGGTCTTTAGGATTTTTGTATTAATGAGAGTAGATTCCTACTTAAAATGTTAAGTCCCAGCAAAGCACATTCACCAATGAGGACAAAGACTAGTCCTGTAGGAAAAAGTTGAAGGAATTTGCTTCATTTTAACAATTTCTATCAATAAATCTATTTAGTATTGGATATAATTTGGTTTTGTGTACCTTTTCCTTTAGCCTTAAACTCAAGTTACTAAAATATACTGTACATGGTGGTAGAGAAAATGTAACGTGATCTTTAATCTTCATTTTGTTTTCTTCCAGGTGTTTGGGAAAATGACATTTCCTAGCCTTCTGTACAGGTGGGCCCTGCGGTTAAATTCTGGTTAATAAAATGCAGTCAGAAGTAGTGTGTCATGCCCAGGCTTGATTCCTAACACCCTTATGCATTTCTCCATTTGCTTTTACTCCTCCTAGGATCCAAAGGAGAATTCTGAGCTCCTTGAGATTTGAGATTTCAAATGACTTTGAGGAGTTTTTTAAGAATACGCTCCTCATTGCAATGTGGATGGGAAATAAATCTTTGTGGTGTTAAGTTGTTGAGATGTTGCAGGTTTGTTATGCCTCACCCGGACAGATACACTCCCCCAAGTGATCAAATGTAGTTTTCTGAACAAGAAAAACAAGGGCCTGGACAATAGTTTCTCCTAGAAAGCCTGACACAGTACAATGCATATGCTAATTTTTGCCCCTTTCACAGGAGCTGCTAAAGGAGGTTGGAATAATCTGTTCTTTAAATTTTCATACACACAAAAAATATTTTTCGTACAAACAATTTTCTGGCAATCAGCTTATCTGTCAATTTTGGGGTCAAGTGAATTAAGGGTTTTCTAATCCTGAGGACACGGATATCTTTAACAATGGAGTCTGGAATGTAATAACTAGATCTCTGAAGGTATTCTTTTTTTTCTTTTTTAATTAGGGGCTCATACAACTCTTATCACAATCCATACACACATCAATTGTGTAAAGCACATTTGTACATTCATTACCCTCATCATTCTCAAAACATATGCTCTCCAGAAGGTATTCTTTTTAAAAACACACTACTGCTCGTTTTGTTCTTCAAGCACAGGTTGTTGTAGTCTAGACTACTAAATCAGCAAAATGTATCTGTTTTGATGCTAGGGGACAGGCATCTACAAAGCAGGAATACTAATCATGAGTCACAAATCTAATAAAATCTCAAGTTATTTAGATCAGTTTTTCTGTAACCCGTTCGGGTTCTCTAAGAAAACACTTCATGTAGACAGTGGTACTTTCAAACTAGAAGAAAGGCTGAAAGAAGAAAAATGCTGGACACATGAACATTTTGTAAATATTTTTTTGACTAGCTTACTTTTCCTTTTTCGCTGCGGGGATTTTTTATATAATAAAAATTAAAAGATTAAAAAAAATTTAAAAGATTAAACTTTCAGATGAAAAATTTTATGTCCGAGAACCATTCAAAGCAGATCTTTTCCCAGCCCTGGTTCCTACAGTTGAAAATCAATCTAGGGTTGAGTAGAGTGGTTCAAAGATATCTAATGTTTTTTTATCTATTTAAATCTCTGTATTAAACATTATCAACATTTATTTAAGCTGGCCCCTTACTTACCTACTGAACAACTAATTCAGTCTCCAGCAAGGTAGTTCTGACTCATGCCTAGGGATGAGTTTTCATGTAGTTCTGATTTTTTTTTCTTTTCGCTATTACAACTATTTCAATAATCTTCTTCGTACATCTCTTTACAAGATTTGTGCAAACACATTTGTAAGCTATGTTTATAGATGTAGACGCTCTCAAATTTTGTGCCATTTGGCATGGCTTTGTCAAAGTGAGCACCTATGTCTACACAACATCCAATCCCACAACCAGAGAAAACAAGGAAGGATAATGACAGTTACTTGGACTCATTCTTTTACTCTAAATATTAAAGAGAATCAAATAGGCAGGGCTGAATCCCGACAGAGCAGACCTTAAAGTTCCCAGAAACACAATGCAGTGCTGGGAGTCTGGAACAGAATCTAACTTTAGCATCTCATACCCCAAAGAGATTACTCCTACTTTCATTTCCTCCACTATTTGAAAATGGCTACTTAACTTTGATATTATTCATATTCTCTCTGGCCTCGAGGAGCTGAGCAATGTCATACTAAGGCACCAAGACCTTGGCACACCAATGAAAACAGTAAGAAAGACTGACAAGCACATCTTCACTATCATTTTAGATTCCCTTTGAATGTATGCTAGTAACAAGATGAAGTTACCAATTGCTATTAAGTCAATTCCAATTCATGGCAACCCCATGTGTTGTACACTATACCTGAGTGTCATGGATCTGACTTTTTAGAAGTAAACTGCAAAGACTTTCTTCCAAGGGGTGGGCTTGAAGGAGGATGCATTGGTTAGTAGTAGAGGACTTAATTGTTTGTACCAAGCAGGGGCTCCAATAATAAGGACATGAATCACAAACTCATTAGGCTAATCAATTCAAATACAAATGTTGAAACTAGAGGAAACACATCACTAAATATTTAAGATTATTTTTCTGATATATGAGGTTTAATAATTTCAGTTTTATTCAGGAGAATCTCAAGTATGATGTGGTCACAGTTGGAGTTTATGCAACTTAGGTTCTTGAGCTCACTCTTACTCAGGACTTGGAAGACCAGGAAATTTAGCTCTGACTCTCCATTAGGTTCTCAGCTTCCGAATCAAGAATATGTGTGAGCCTCACCTCTCACCAGGACCAAGAGTATGATAAACTGTGGTGGTCTGCACAAATAACAGACAACCTAAATCAACCCATAAGGTTCCATGCACTGTTGCTACCATAACCTTTGAAATAATGGTGTGTACTAAGTTTATGAGATAAAAGATTAACAATTTTGATGGAGCACATGAAACTATATGCCTTAAAAATAACCGGGATGACTATTTTAGAAATGAGAAAGACAATAAGTAAAATCATTAACCCCATTAACAGGTTTAACAGAAGCGTATCCCACTATGGGATTGATCCATAATTTAATTTAGATTGGAGTTATTGCTGAGAAGGGAGAGAAATGGGGCAAGGGAGGAAAACAAAGGGAGCTTCTTCTTTATTTTATTTCTTGAAAATAAAGATCTGTAGGGAACCAGTGGAGAGGGCGAAGGGGCCTGTCCCAATCCCAACCACTATGCGGACACCTACCCCTCCCCCCAGAAGAATTTATTTCAAAAGACGGCATTAAATCTG